GAGAGTAGCTAAAGTGCACAAGTTTGTGGCGTGATAATTTTTTTAAATATTCCACGTATGTTTTAGTCCTCAGGAAATGTCATTATATCTTTACCAATAATCACGTAACTTAGATAATTTGTTTATAATTTTACGTTACCAAGGAAAATCACTCAAAAATGCTCTTATAAAAAAAAGGGACCAAACAATTCATTACACCTCACAACATGATTAATTGAAAAACTGTTAGTCGTAAATCTTTAGCAATTTCGTAACTATGCAAACGTTTCAACATTTTTGATTGTAGCACGGTACTGAATGTATTACTACTAATAGTTCATTTATTTTTAGTAGACATGGTTACTCTCTTGGAAATTCAATCAATGATAACATAAATTAAATGTTTTAACAACCGTAGATTTTTTTAATAGATTAACGCGTATCATTCTACAAGCTTTTATTTTCGCTTTTGCTTGTACTAATAATTGGCAAACAGATACTTTACCGAATAGCACTGAGGTTACAGAGTCGTGGAAAATTGTTCAAAACGTAGTTTGCAAGTACTGTTTCATCAAGATTTTGTCAAAAAAAGTTTTTACGTGCAAAATGCTTATAAAATATTGAGATGCAAATAATGTTATTAAATTTATTGTTGACCTCACGTTCATGTGTGCAGAATTAGGGGACAAAATTTATGATCAAATCGTATCCAAAAAATTGAACATTAGAAAAACACTCACAGCTTCTCACTCCTAATATATAAGGAAAATAATATGACGTAGAAGTTGAAAAAAAGTTCGAATGAGAAAACAATTTTTTTAATACTTTTTTTTGTCATTTAGTGAGTACCAAAAGGCCAAGGTCCTGTCTGGTATCTTTTTTTTTTGAAGAGTTATTTCATAGTATATTTCATCATACGATATAGGATTTGTAGCTTCTGTCAATCAAAAGAATCCGACTAATTTAAATAGTAGTATCACTTCATGCTTTCTGTATTAAGTAATGTTGATCCTTTAATCTTAATAAAAAAAAAAGTTTTATAATATGTAATATTTCTTTGCTGCTGGTGAATGTTGATTCTTATTAAAAAAGTAAATTCTTTTTAAGAAATAACAGTAACAGTTTGTAAAAATAATCAGGTGAAATACAATTGTAGTAAGTACCAATGCTAAGTAGATACAGACCACATTCGGTCAGACACGCGGTCATTTGATTATTGGTGTCTTACCATTTCAAATATTTAATTATATGTGAATGATCAAATTTGATTAGTAATTTTATAAAACATGGAGACACGGGTTACGTAGCTCTTTCGTTGTTTTTAATATTACTAACAAAAATGACGATATAATCACAACTTCTATGAAATGTGAATAGCTGCACGTTACCAAACGGACAACCGGAGACATTGAGTTGGAAAATAACGGGAAGGAAGGCTACTTAATGCCAAGATGACGATGACAAGTCTAAGCAACTACTTCTCATAGCTGATGGAAATTATCTGATCATTTTTTTTTTTTTTTTTTCAAAAGAATCTGCATATAATATGAAATAACCAAAAAATTTTAAATTCACAAGATGTCAACCGAATACTGATTTATACGTACATTTTTAATCATAGGCAGGTTATTCTTATATATACATCTTACATAAACGAATATCTTTTAGAGAATTTTTGCTTGATTATGTTAAGTAATAATATGTTAAGAAAATATGTACGTGCCAAGATAAAAAAAAATTTATTTATTTTGACCAAAAATCAAAGAATTTTTTTGTTGAAATCATAATTCAATAAATAGCAACATTATCTTTCATTAAATGATTGAAGCACATTCTTGAAAAAAGACAATAAAATAATAGACATATAGGCATGACTTCATAAAAAGCACATCATACGTATAGAAAACAGTCTACTTCACGAGTGGCCTTGTAAATGAGAGTGGCAGTGTAAAGCGAGACCCTTCAGATTTTTCTAATATCCATACGACACGTGACCAGTGAAAACTAAACACGTACGCAAAGGAAATGAGAAAAAACGACTTGTAAATTTATCAAGATGGAATGTTAAAAGAACTACACAAGTATCTTTGTAACTTTTCACAAATTCCTTAGTGAGCATCATCGAGGATTGTCTCTCGACGGAAACGCCGTTACGTTGTACAAGTCTAAATAAAAAAAAAAAAAATTCTTTCGCTCCTTTCTTTCGCCGTACGTGACTATTGACGTACATCTTACATTACATACAACACAACAGCTTCAGTTGTACAGCTCATCATTACAATTATTCGAATGAATAGGATAAACTCGTCCTGATTTTCTTTGGGCTTGCACACGAGCATTTACGTCAAGTTGAGGTAAATAATTGTTTACTCTCGCACTCACATGTGAACCAATTTGGTAATGCCCTCGAGAGTGAGGTAATTTACGTTGCAAGAAGTGAATTTTAAGCGTATTTATGCATTTACGTAGCCATCCTGCTTCATTTTGCAATCGAGGTTAATCTTCTCTCTCTCTCTCACTCCCCGTGCATGCGACCAAAGGAAAATAAACAACGTGCTCATGAAAATAAGTACGTGCATCAATTAAGAATTCTAATCGAGTTATGCTCGCTTGAACCGCTGTACGCACGTGGTATTGAAAGCATGTGATTACGCTTGAGACGTTACTAACTGTTTATCAGGTATAACAATTTTTTATTTGTTTTCTTACAACCATAATATTCTTTTGGTTGACAAATTTTTCTAACAGCTGGAGACTGTTAAAGCCCAAAAATATGTCAAACTATTTATTCATCCTTGTAAACTGGAATGAATAAAGGAAATATGGTTTTGTCGTTATGATAAGTTTATTACCTAAGTGCGTGGAAAGGTTCCGATTTATTGCGAGTGTCCTTCATCCGTGATATGAATTTTATCGAGAAGGACGTGCAATATTTTTATTCTGTAAGACGCAAGGCGAGCGACAGTGTATTTTTGAGTGCCATTGACTGATACTGGTTGGCTTGACATTCGTCAAGTAAAATTTTGAACAAACAATTGTCGATGGTATTGGTTTTTTAGTCATTATAATTTTTTACAGCTAAAAATGACCAGATGGATCAATTAAAATTTATTTTTAAAGTTTTTCACTGCTTTAAATATTTTTTTAACACTTTGTCGATTTAGATGATGTTGAGTCCGTCATAATTACATAATTATGTACTTAATTAACGATTACATCAGAAATTTACAAACATTTCATTTAAGAAATACGTATTTGCTTATGAGCGCATCAATATGTAATTAGAAACTAAAATTACCACGCGTGATAAATGAATCAACGGTTGTTGAAAATATGCCCTTTATTTGAGACGTTTACGTACTAAGCTGCAAGAAATACACGATATGCCCAAAAGAAATAGTGTTACCCAAATGCTGTATTACGGAGCAGCGATGTAATGCAATTAGGGTGTACACGTTTCACCAAAATCAATGGACGACATCACGTGGTGGGCTTGCGATATACTCGGTTGTTTACTCAACACCCCCCCGTTTATTTGGTCAGTTTTGTGGACGTTTCTCGTTCATTTTCCGATATTTCCAGTCAAGAGGCCTTGAGAAGCTGAGTTTCGACTAACCGACAGGTACAACAGCGAATTTCCCTCTTTGTCACGCTTTTGTCTTACGAGATCCTGCGATCGCATGCTTACGACATCGTTGATTCACCTTTCCGCGAAAGATTTGGAAGATTGGACATTTTTTTGCTACGGCTGATTGCAATGAACTGCTGGATGCAACGTTTGAGGACACTGTGCAACAAAAGTAAAATTGTCTGCTACAAAAAAAAAAATATAAGTTTCAACCTCTGGATAATAAAAGTTTTTAAGCGTGTAAGTATAAAAATTTTACTTAAACATATATTTCTATGTAAATCAATATCTAACTTATAAATTGTTGAATTTATTACAATATTTCTTTTTCGACTGTATACAAAACTGCTTGAGATATTAAAAAAATTTTATAAAATTATCAGTATTTATGTAAAATAAAACATCTTTATCTTATTAATTTTTTTAATAATAATTATGGAAATCTCATGAAAAAGTTTACCTTCACTCTTTCATGATATTTATCATAATTTTTAAAATTTTAATGACGCACAGTGTAAATTTCATGAAGATGCCTAACATGTTGATGAATTTTTTTTTTACATTTATTCATCTTAGTTCAAAGTGAGACAGTAAAATAAAGCAAAGATACAGTTTTACTGCATCGCAAAAACTTTCATACAACGACAATTGAGCACAAGTACACGAGATCAGATACTCTATTTTTAGCGTCGAACGAACAATTAAAGCTAGACAAAGACAGGCGCGACATCCGGATGAACTTGACCTAAACTTGCCTGCACGCCACTCGCACGGGAAGTGATTGATGGGAATTATTGTCCCTTTCGTAATCGTCCAATGAACTTTTGCTCCGAATCCTCTCAAATACAATTTTTTTTTTTTTTTTTTTTCGCCAAGCTTCAGTTTTTATTTCCAATGATCCGAAAACTGCGACTCACACATCTCGCAAAAACGCATTTTTTTCAAAATTAATTAGAGCTGAAATAACTTGGCGTGTGGATGAACGACGTTGGCTGTTATTAATTTCAATGTCCACGACATTTCACGCAACCACCTCGCAACGACGACCACGTTCGTGCATATAGGCTTTTTTTCCAAAGAAATCCTAATTGGCTGTGCCGAGACTATGCACGATTGCGAATACTTATGGATTTCGCGAAAAGTTGGCAAACAAAATGCACCGATAGCCCAACATTTTCCATCCCCAGTGACCCATTAATGGTTTCGAAAAACCCTCGGACAAAGGCTATCTATTGGTCCCAACGAGGGGGGAAGCCCCGCGTTGGCCCACGTGCTTCCTCCACCCCGCGGATTCGGCACGGCCGGCGCTGGTGGTGGTGGCGGCGAGGCCCCTCCCGCTGATATAAGCCGCTCGCTAGGCGCCGCCACACAGACAGTCACAGAGAGAGCCGAGGCGAGCGGGAGCCGGCGCGTGCGAGACTCTGCTCCTTGTGACCATTACCGAAAACATCTCTATTGTGCCGAATAATAAAACAAAAGTAATTGAAACGAAAATTAAAAAAAAAAAAAAAAAAAAAACTAATTTTTTGATTTACGAGCTGTTGAGTTACGATTATAAACCAAGTACAGTTGTCGTGGAGAAGAAAGCTGCAAGGAAGTTGTTGAGTTTGTTGCGGCAGTTGCCGAGGTACGAGTATATCAATATTCTTTGGCTCGTTGTATTTGTTTGTGTGGTTATTTTCAACTGGTGATTTTTGAGAAACAAATGAAGAAGATAAATCGACACTTGTGGAACAGTGCAGGAAGACCATGAGCACAGCCTATGCGTCGTGCGAGAGAGGAAAGCGAAACCAATTCTTAATTTTTTTTTTTTTTTCGTTTACCAACCGGAGAGAGAGAGGGGGGGATGCAGGTGAGAGATGCGAAGAGAAAGAAAGTGCGTGACTTTTTTATTTTCAATTTTTTTTTTCTTCTTTTTCACCAAAGGTTACGAAAGCACGGTTAATCTGTTTGGTGATTGTGCAACGACTGCCGTGAAACGCGAGAGATTTTTGTATCGGGACTTGCTTAATAAATAAAAAATGCTGGTGCTTTCAATTAATTTTTAACCAATCAAAATATGTAATTTGCTTTTTTTGCTATTTACCGTGAAGAGTTTAACACGCTCGAGACGAGTTCACTTGAGGAGAAAATATTACATAATTCTGATAAAAAAGCAATTAAAAAATCCTTCGTTTCCTCGATCGCGCGAATCGCCGATGGATGCAGGCCGTAAAATCGAAAGTCACACACGCGGTAGCTCCGGGTTATCGGAAAAAACTTTCCACGCGTAGAAAAACCGACGCGAGAGGGGGAGGAAATCGCGAACGAACGAGCGCTGATAATTACGATAATAACAATGCCCCGACGCCTGGACATTTTGATTTTTTTTTTTTTCGTCTCCACGACGCGTATGTAAAGCTCAAAGTGCGGAAGTTCGGATGTACAGGTACACGAGCTCGCGTGCGGTGATGTGCTCACGGAAAAACGGACATTACGTGTGTGCACACGTACACGTATATATGTGTCTACCACTCGCGTCTCGTAAGTTGGTACGTAAGAGCACATGCAAATGTGGCTGTGGAGCTCGCGTGTATAGTGAAATCTCCGGGGAGAGGATTGACTAGCGGCAACGGTTTAACGTCCAATTTGTGGTGATGAAAAACAGCGCGTTAGGAAACGGCAAAACGGAAAATTGAAGGGACCGATTTGTCGCGTTGCGAAAACGCGTTTGGTATACGCATGTGAGGTGCAGTAGTCTATAAACTGTTGTTGCTGCGCTTTGTGTGGCACACGGTGTTGTTATACCTGTATGTTTGAGGAGTGATCGAAAAGTGAGAGTTTTCGGTCTTATCTATATGCCATTGTTGTTTACGGTTTTGAAAGTGATATTAGTTGGTCGGTGACGGGCGTTGCTCTCCGATAATTTTATCGCCGAGCCGAGGGTTTGCGTAATTCGCACCTGCCTGACGCAAGTTCATTTCCCACTCTTGTTTTATCCGGCTTTTTTGGCGCGCCTAGATTAATCGACTATCAACTCTGTGGTTTTTCACCCAAGCTCGCGGTATCGTGTTTTTTTTTTATTTTATTATTACTGTTATTATACTGTTATTATCACTGATAACATCGATGGATCATTGAACCAAAACTTTTTCTTTCAAATGACTAATAGCAGTATTAAATTAATCTTTTTCTATAGTCAAATAAGAAATTGTGTTTTGTATTGATTTCTTTGATATTATTATTATTATTATTGTTATAATGTTTTCACTAGTATTTTTTTTTTTATTTTTTTTATTGTCACCAATTGGTCGAATCAAAACTTTGTTTTAAAGTATACAGAATTTTTGATACTTTTTTTATGAAATAAATAAAACGTTTTAAGCTTTGCATTTAGGTTGCGTAATAATTGCTCTGGCCAATTTAGAGATTCCAAGAAATTTCAAAGATCGCGCAGTAGCGATTAAAGCAGTAAAAAGTGATTTTTATGGTCAATTATCAGTTCAAAGCAACGTAAGATAAGTACGAGTTTGAAAATAAATTAAAAAAAAAAGATATAAGAATTTAAAACGACAAAGAAAAAGTACGTAAAATTTCGTTCCAGCCTCGATCGAACTTTCATACGACTCTTTAACCAAGTATATTAATCACTTTCATCTCCCGAGCTTGGACCTGCTACCTGTTATAGTTTCTAGTTTTCTTTTCGAAAATACCTCATGCGGAGTCTCAAATAACTGGTAATCACGAAAGAATTCCTAAGATTGCGAAAATAGTCCATAAGTCCTCGATACAGTGTACGAAAGCGCTATGTGTTATTACCAACAACAAGGGCTTTTGTGATGGGTAGAGGAAAACTGTGGACTCGAAGAAAAATGCATAGTCTCGATGAGAAAACGAATTTTCGGGGGAAGGGATGACGGAGAGAGGACAACGCGATTTTCTGTGGCTGCGAATTCTCGTTCAAGGCAACAGAGGCATCCGTGAGCGCGACACGTATTTATTTTTGTTTGCTATGGCATTGGCGATTCGAGAGGGAATGAAAGAAAAAGGAGATGGATTACGCTGCTTTTTTTCACGCGGGATAGTAAAGCGGTTGTAGCACTTTTTCTTGCAGAAATAGCGTACACGCGGTGTCCCTCATTAGTAGTAACAATATTCACGATTAACGTGTATGATATTGCCATGCTAATGATTTTGATTATACACCCGACGATTGCGAAGATAATCGAGCGCAAAAAAGGAATTCTTGGCCGAAATAAAAAAAACTGGTTGTTTATTTATGGATGCCTGGCATCTGTACATTTTTTTTTCTCCGCCAACTGAGAATCCCACTGTTGGTTCATGCGAGTAAATAAACCACACTTTGAGAAAAATTTATTACGAAGACCAAACGAAAAAACCAAATTACCAGGGGGAAAAAAGAGATTACTAATGTAAATGTGCGCAACCAAGGCCTGCATTTTTCCTTTCATTTTTTTTTTCTTTCATCGCGAACGGAGAGCATTTCGCATAGTATTTACGTATGGGAGCAGTAGGTGTATGGAATACATCGACCTCCGAACCGCGAAACGTCCTCGAGAACGTGTTCAGCCGACGAGGAGCGGATTGGTCGATAAATTCGTATACTCGTACGTACTCGCGCGCATTAGGATGTGCATCGCGTATCAACAATGGGCTATTCCAGCTTTTGTCTCGTGGATTCGCTGTGGCTTTTTGCTCGTTAAAGCTTCATCGTGTACTGCTCGCTATGTTTATTTCGATACTTTTTTAAAAATAAACACAAGTATCGGTATAAATCGTTACGAATATTACGTCTTCTCTCAATCAAGTTGGACACCTGTTGACAAAAGTTTAAGTTTCGAGAAATTTAGATGGACTCTCGGTTACACGAATATTTACATAAAACAGAATAATAAAAAAAAAGAGATAGTGCCTGCCCCCACCAAAATCCTAATATTTCTGTTCTCTTCGATTGTTTATTCATTACACTAGAGCTTCATGGCGCCCAAGAGTTTTGGTTGCTGATCTTATCTGTCTCGGCCGGTGAGAGCGATTGCAACAACATGATCGAACCCATGAGGGATCCCTCTCTCGGGTAAATGATTGAATATTCTTCCAATCGACCCACACACGGACTTATTTGGTGGTTACTCGAAATGGTAGGGTGTAAAAGAAATTCTAGAGTAAAGTTTAACGTTAAAACAATTTTTTTTTCTCATACTACAACAAATAGTCGTAACAGTATATGGACACAGTGTAATTTTTATGATAAAAATGATAAACGGTGTACGAACTTAACAAAACTTTTTCCCGAGTAAAATGGAGTTGACATTTTTTTTTTTTTTTTTACGTTTGACGTATTTATACAAAAAAGATTTGTTATCGTACCGAATGTTGCATGTGGCATTGATCAAATATTTGATGACAAAGGTATTCGAAGGAATTTTGGACGCCTGCACACTTCATTCGATAAATTAAATTTTTTAAGCCCTCATTCGGATCCTGACGAAAAAAAACCATAATTTATTCAAAGAAGTGACACATAAAATTGGCTGCATTGCCTCTTACGTAAGATTGCATATACTATCTAAAAAGAGTTATCGCGCCCTTAAAATATCCTTGATCGCAGCGAGCCTTGAACTTCGAATCCGCATAACCAGACCCCCTTAACCTTTCCTTCAACCTTTGGAGCACCTCTCGCATCTGCCGCGTACAATATGGCCACAATGAGTGTACATATATACGCACACCCAGCTCCTCTCGCGTATATAGGTGTGCAGGCATTCACGAGGACTTTCGCGCTGGCGTCGCGTCGAAAGTGATAGTTTCGCGGATCCCGAGAAAGGTTCGGCCGCTCTTCCGGGGCGCCCGCGTCCTTGCCTCCTCCGTATCTTTAATCCTCTACACGGACATACACACGTACAGCGGTGTGCTTCTCCTCCTCCTTCTTGAGTCACCTCTGTATAGCCGGGAGATGGGTAGAGTGACGGGAGCGAGAGCGTGGAGCGCACGGGTGTACAAGTGGGCCGCTCGGTGAGTTGAGAATTTCTCGGAGTGACATTCCTTACCAAACGCAGAAATTCGCGCGCCCGCGACGTAATGCAACCTGGTGGGAATTACTGGCCGCTCGTGTGACAATTTGCGTGAGTACCTATATGCTTGTACAACTTGCGATGTGCATAATGTTTGTTTGTTTGAATGAGGTTTCGTCAAACTGTCGCCCCGATATTTTTCTTTTCTCAATCGTATTGTCGAGTGTGCATATAGGAGGGGGTCTACGGAGGTGAGAAAATTATGCATTAGCGGTATTTTTTCATGGCATCCTTTTTCTTGTACCAGTTGAAAAAAAAAACCATGCAACTTTATCAGTAAAACCTATAAGTACTTTTTTGATCTACTCATTGCTCAATTTTTAGGAATCCTCGACACGTTCAAAATGAAAATCACGACGACGATACTGGTGGCCTGTCTGTGCATCGCCTCAGCCGTATCACTTCCCTTCAATAATGGACTGCAATCACAGGTCAGTTTAACTTTTTTTTTTTCGTCTTCTTTTTCCTACTAATAAATCTATCTGCTCTCTAAAGCTTGTCGCACTGAAGTTTGCAACTTTTTTGCATGATAAAGAAATAAAGTAGATAATTATAATATTGTAACTCCTGAAGATTTTGTTTATAAAGTACATAAATCAAAGGGTTTCACCGCAATGATTATTTTTTACCTTTTCATTGAGCGAAAATCATGCAAATTTCAGAGTCTCCGCAACTTGATAACGGAAAGCGTGAAATTATAACCCCTCAATCGAATACATGCAAAATAAGTACGTGGGCAGTGTTTGATCGCTTGATTGAGTGCTTATACGAGTTTATGTAACGATACTTTCTGACGGAGCAGTAAGTGCTCAGCTGATCAATTCAGCCAAGGATCTTTCACGTTCCTTGTCGAGTATCGCCGAGTTTCATATGAACCCTATTTTGTTGCAGCAACATTGAAAGTAGAGACTTATATTTTAGGGAAACTTATTTATCCGATTAGTATTAATTAGATTGTTTCAAACGACACGTGAATCAGAGAATTATTACAAACTATTTCGTGATAAAACGATTGCGCAGCATCTGTCAAAGAAACATTTTATCGTCAAATTTTATAAAATCATTCGGTGACAAGCAGATACGGGTACAAGTCAAAATTGAAATTACGCTGGTTAGAAGAAAAAAAAAAAAAATTGTTCGATGTACTCCTGAATCAGGGCCAACTGCATGTCGTTAACGATAATTACAGTCCCACTTTTTATATAATCACAAGCCCGTATGTTGCTCGGAAGCGTCAAGGATTCGATAAGAGGCGGCTGATTAGTTCGATCAAGTATAGCGCAAAACATTTCATGATCATTGTAATTTTTTTTTTTTTTTTTTTTTTTACAACAACTTCTCTTTTTTTTCTCGAGTTTGATTGAAACCGTACTTTGGTACTATAGAAAACGAAACTTAGGAGGATGTGGCACAATAAACCGAAACTGACGTGACGTACGAAGAAAAAGAAAAAAATGTTGGATATCCCCCAGAGTGACGGCATCGAGAGCTCGATATATTAAGATTCCATGGCTAACAGCGGATCTTTTACGTAACGTAGAAAAACACTCGTGTCGTCCCGGGGCAAGAACCTTTTGGCTCTAATTTCTATTTTTCTTTTCAACTCATACACGTACACACGAGTGATTCCGTCTGGTTAACATTTTTCAATCCTTTGCCTACAATGTCCAATCATCCATCTCTCGTCCAAACAGAGAATACGAAAGTGATTCTTGCAACGACGACCGTGAATAGTCCAGGGAACTTTCCTTTGAAGTCACGATCGAGAGATGTTGCAAAACGCGCGTCTCTCTCTCTCTCTTTGGCTCGAAGGTGCATGATCATGGACAAATAGAAAATAAGCATTACCGCTCGTTTTGGCCATTATTTGCCGAAATTCTTCGTACGTCCGAAGGACGCTTATATTTTCCCTACCATATACTTCATATATTTGGCACTTTGGTAACGGCGCATCTCTCTGTGATGAAACTCCAGTTGCGATGACGGTCTTATCACTTTTCACATACAACCTAAAATATGGTCATTTTTTTCCCGGGAAACGTTTTTTGTGCCTATTTGGGTAATAAAATCTAACAGCTTTGCGTCGTTGTGTCACCCAAACGTTAAATTAGCTCGGCAAGCAGCATAAATCGCGAGCAAACAGCCGTAAGTGGTTAAAGAGCGCTCCGCGCGGCTTGTCGTTGCGCATACGCTAAATCGACCGCGATTTTGCTCCTCGAAGTAGGTAAGCTGTGTACGACCGTCGTGGCTTCTCGAGTGTCTTTTCCCTCGGTATGCAAGTCGAGTACTCGTGTTTTCGTGGCACCGCCGAGAAGCTCTTGATCTAAAAATTTGCTTTTTTTTTTCTTGTAAACTCGCCAGTAGGGCAGGCACGTACGTTCACGTGTTGCTGCTGAAAAAAAAGAAAAAGAAAAAATAAAAAGTAATCGGTGAAAAATGTTTATTGTTCGAGGGGGGGAATCATTATTAATCGGACGCGTTTCCAAATATAAATACATACCTGCCGCGGATTTCCAAAAGAAAGAGTCTCTTGGCACTACTGAACTTGTTAGCACAATGGCCTCTCACGTTTGAAAGTCCATTGTAATTCTGTTTGGTCCCCCCTTTTTTTTTTTTTTTTTTTTTTTTTTTGGTCTCGGTGAAACATCAAGTTTCTCCGCGTGTGCATGCATGAAAATAACTTATAAGTCCCTTGTACAAAAAAAAAACCATACAAGCGAATTCGCAACTCTCGTCTTTTCATTGGATTTCGCGCAAAAACAGGGCTGTCTCCGTCATCGCCGACTGTTTGTACAACTCGGACGGGAGGCGATATTTATTTCTTTTGAAAAAAACGCAGCTTTTAACACGTCGAAAAAATACTTTTCAACAAAACTAATGGAGCACAGCTACCGTACGCGGTTACCCAACGGCAGTGCATATTCATGTACTCCAGGACAAAGGAGTCGACGACCACTCACCCACCCACGTCGATCTATCTTTAACTCTCGGCTGAGTTACAGAGGCATTCCGCTCCACGGAGATCGAGATCGGCTGATCGAAACTTTCTTCCTCCATACAGCCTTGCCGAACAAACAAACAAGCCTAGCTCTGTCGTTGACGCTCCACTGCGTGTCCTTTGCGTAATTATAGCTCCCGGCTGACATAATCCTTCCATTCGATTTTTGGATACTGGAAAAAAATCCGCATCCCAAGTGAAAAAAAAAAGAAAAAAAATCCTATAATATACCCGGGCACCTGTATATATGTTCCTACGTATATACCAAGCTAGCGCCCGACACTTTCACTGAGCCGGCACACGCGCCGGAGCCTCTCGAACACTTTCTTCGCTCGATCGGCGCCTAAAGGAAAGTCTGCGCGTACATAAATACAGCCCGCTCCGTGTAAATGCGTGTGTATTATATAGCCCAGCCGAGTGAGTTCGGGATTAGCTTGGATAGAGACGAGCAAACTTTCGGGAAGATCGGCTGGACCCGTAAAATCGGTTGTAGAGATCGCGATTTGCTATTCATTTATGAAAATCAATTGGCAATGATGGATGCGAATATTATACACCGCGGAATACGTCAAGGAATTATCTCACTAATTTGCGCAACAGCTGTGACACGTAACTTTTGGCACTGCCGATTTTCTCCCAAATATTAATTTTATTCGTCCTCTCGTGCCTCCATTGGTTGGTGACAAACAACTTGCAAACAATCGGCTCGTGAACGGCAGAGAGTTACACGTAACTTTCGTCCCAAAACTATACTCGATTTCACTCTCGATCGATCAAGCGATTGCGCGCGACACTGAAACACCCACTTATTTTAGACCCGATCGGAAGGAATGTTTTTTCCAACAACAGAGACAAACACGTTGGAGATCGGTAATACGCTCATTATAGCGCACGTAAATCCATTGCTTTTCTCAATTACCTTCTCAGCGCTCGCGTACAACAGATAGTATCGAATACCGATTCCCCATGCGGATAACATCGAAAATCACATCACATGCAGTCTCGCGAAGAGAAGGACGAGAGAGTGCTTGCACGATGACATTGACACCTTTTTCTTCGCTGCAGCGATCGTTCGAAATTCTGACGCGCTTCCACTTTTACATACCTACGATCAAAGTGGCAGCTCGTTAATTGTCTTTTAGCCGAGTGCGGCGATCGGTTATTTATATAGTTATATGGATGTGTATAGATGCAAAAAATAGTCATCTGTAGAAAAAGCAATCATCGGCGTCCGGAAGCCCAAGTCACTTTTGTATACCCGACAGTACAGAGTGATCCGTAATAACCCTCCAATTACCACCCTCCCTCCCTCCTCTTGTCACGAGACTGTTATTCGTGAGGGGAAAGAAGAAAAAAAAATTCTTGCCAGCTCCTCCCACGAAACGTAGCCATGAAACTAGAACTAATCGCGCCGCTTTCTAAAACCGACCAAATGACCGAGCGATTAATACGACGTCTCGGGTGTCGGACGTCGTATCGTCGATTGCCCACCTCTTTACGATGGACACGCGGCATCTGAAATCGCCAGGAATCAATGTACAGAAAACCGTGAGTAAGCCGCTCGACAGATATGTAATGGGAAAAACGAGTATTCCTAACCGTTTCGGCCGATCGTTGCGTCACTTGCGTTGGTTGCCTGCAGCCTTTTTACTGATGTACCGATACAAACAGAAACAAGCGCGCACCTGTTGCCCGTCTCTTCTTACCTGCGCACGAGCTTGGCCTTTAAGGTCGTCGGTTGCCGAGAGAGTTTGGAACGGGTGCTACATTTTATTCAAATCACCTGATTTTTCTATCTCTGATCGAGAGATCGGTATATACACATTCATATTGATATTATCCATACCGATTTTCGGGACTGCAATCTACGTACACTCTATTATTCCTCAAAACCAGAGTAAACTGTACGTTTTTCCGATGTCAAGTCATATGGTATGCATCACACGGGACATGCACGCACCCGTGCTCGATATTTACAGGTTCGTTATCTCGGAAATGGCCATTCAAACGTCTCCCGCGAGAAATAATCGGTGCCACGACTCCCATACAATATCGACGTACTTCGTTGCAATCAAAACGCACCAATGTCGACGTCGAACAGTGCGTTCATATCCCCCGAAAACCATTGGTGCAACCTTTTTCCGAAATTTTTGCTTACCGATTTCCTACCGCGATCTCGCGTCCAGAGCCCAAGCTCGACAATATCTGCGGCTGTGATAGACTGTACACGTTCGCGTATACCTGTACACACAGAGTTGCGCGCAGGGCAGTGCAGAGAGAAAGTGGACCGTATCGCTGCACGGCCCGAGCGGCGTTGAGCAACCACTCGCGGGGCCGATTTATACGTGTATAGGTACTTTTATATATTTATTGGCGATTTTCGCGCTACATTGCCGTTGCCACGCCTTTTCTTTCTTTTCTTCCCTTCGGCTCCATACCTTGCGTTATATGGCCGTATCTCGCTGAGTCGACGATAGGCCGGCTTTTGTAGAAACGATCGGCCATAGTCTCTTTTTAGAGTACAGATCGGAGAAATTCGTGGCGGCTTGGAATTTTTTTGCAGCTGTAATGTAGCGATATAATGTATAGCGAGCAGGTTGCTCGGGCAAATTGGACGCTTGGATTTTTTGTGACGGCGGGCGCCATCGGGAGGCCATTAAACGTTTCCAACTTGCGTTTTCGTTGATGAGCCCCGCAAGTGGAGTGTTTATGTGCGTTTGCGAAAAAAAAAAAAAAAAAAAAAATTGGGTAAGATCTCGTGTAAAAAATAATTTCACGCGCGAGGTAGAGCTTGAGGAAAAAAGGGAGAGGGGATGTGGCGCAAACTTTGTAATGCAGCCGTTATACCGATGTGTTATTAAATTTGCAAGGATATAAAGTTGAAAATTGTAATTAATTATAAAAGGACGATTCAGGGGTTCGTGATTGCAACTTGATATTTCTCGTTTCACGTGCGATAACGAAATGTAAGATATCTAGGAAAAATTGTGGATATTTAGAAAATACGGATAACACTCGCGCTTGGAGTCGTTGGGATGTTTTTATTGTTGATGCGATGATACGTGGTTTAGGGTGAAAGTCGCGCTGAAGATAATTAGCAGAGAATCTGGAAAATTCAGAGTACAAGATATGAAACACTTTTGAAATTTACGGTTTTTTTACACGGATCGTTACTACAATCTTGAAAAATAATTACCCCGTGAGCAATTTAACCAGACGTGTGTCAATTACGACGATTCAAGTAAACATCTACTTAGATATTATTTTTTTAATAGTAATTCAAACACGTTGTCTTACATGCATTACATGAGTGATTATACTTAATAAAACCATCTTGTCAGTATGGTATTTTTATAAAAACGTAATCACCAAAAATAAAGCCCAATTATTGGCATTAGGTTTACCAAAAGACAAAGTGTTTGTATGCAGTACTAGAGAAGACTCTTTGTAAGACAAATCCAAGGTTATGTCACTAAAATGACGAGATAAAAAAATTATTTCCTGTCTTGTACGTATGAGTGTAAAATTTAATTAACAAAATCACGCACCTCGGGAGCACAGTTTGTTTTGGAAGCACAAAAAAAAAAAATTAACGAAACGCTAGCTTCTTAGCGACAAAAAAAAAAGTGCCGAGGGCCAATCGAAAGTGTGTTTTTCTAGGCTCTCGATCAACTGATGGTAGACGAGACCGTGAACGATCCGACGTTCAGAAGCAAAAGGACAATCGGCATTCTGCGACAGCTATTTCCTGACATCACCAAGGTAAGCCCACGCGACTCTCAGCCGGGATATATACCGCACCTGTTTTTACATTTTGTTTCTCCCAGTTTTAGTGTGCACCAAGACCCATTATTTACATTTTTTTTAACCGCAGTTATAATATGACTTATCGCCCTGTTTGCACATTTGTGCGCCGTAGACTTTGCGTTATTACGCGTGTACAATATCGAAAGATGGAGGGAAAATTTATTCTCGTTTTACGAGAGCACAACTCTTATGTTTAACGCACGGCAAGAGCAAACCTTTGGCGCATTGTTTGCGTTTCGTCACGTTGTGCATTTTCTCGCTCTAGTTGTGAACATTTTCAGGCGCTAACGCGACAATAGCCGTCACATAGTGCAATTCACTTGGCACAATGGGATAATAAATTCGGCATGGTAAGGATTGTTTTTTTTTTTTTTTTTTCGCCCACGTCTCGAGCGTGCACGGTTCTTTGAAAACAGATTTTTTTAGCATCATTAACCCTCGAATGGAAAACTGAGCGCGCAGTGGTGGGTACAGTAATTATAGTGTTTTGCTCATACATATAGTCAACTTAATGATGCTAATTAAGGGGGGAGACAAAAAAAATCGTCATTAAAATCGATGACATCGCAAAACACGAGTCAGGCAGACACGCAACGTAACGTACGAAGTATAGCCGTGACAATTGCCAAAGAAAAAAATAAAAACACATAACTTTTGTATCGAGTCCAAAGCTCGTGATTTATCGAAAAAAGGAATCCTCTTTGAATCGGCCCGCGCGCGCTCGGCAAACGCTATCGCTCTCGTCGCGGCATTCCTGCTGTGAAAGCCTCGCCTTCGTCGCGCTATCATTTTCGCCACGCGAGGCTCGTTACGCCCGTACGGCGATATACACTTATATTACACCCTTGCGAAAGCGGAAGAGCAACTCAATGGAGCACCTTTACTCGCTTTTTTTCAATATTCAGATGCACCAATGAACGCTCCATCGGATGAATTTCACGACTCAATCAAAGTTGCAATGCTTTTATCGGAGCTCTCGCGTTGAATTGCTTTTCCTTCAAACCTCGACCGTAGGAAGCGTGTTACACGCGCAGCGGAAGCGCGCTCTGCTGGTTTCCGATGTAACGGCGCCTGAGGTTAATTTTCCTGATAACATTCCTCGGCCGTTCGGTTTCCTTATCCCCCCCCCCCCTCGGGATATTTTTCGATGCTAAATCGTCCTTATGTAAATTAATAACGAAAAGTGGTAGTAAGACAGGTGCCGAAAAAGTCCTCGTTACCCGGGCCAACGAGTCGTGGAAACGGTCCGCTTAGCACCTCGTTAAGACAATAAAACCCGCAACTCTGGCAATTAAGTCCTAACGCGCGCGGCGACAAGGACACTTTCGCTCGCGGTGCGGAGCGTATAAAAATATATATACTCACGTGTTGTGTCCGAGATCGACAAGCCGCGCGTCCCGAAGCCTACATACACGCTTACTTACAAACGAGCGCGGGTTACGCGAGCTCTGGCTCGATTTTCCCTTTCGCGCCGGCTGGTGAGGCTCTTTTTTTTTTTTTCTTTCTCTCTTTCATTGTTCGAGGAGAGAACCGAGACGCGCTGAATTGTAAAAAGCTATATATACATGGGCGGACGCAACACTCCAGCCGAGTTTCCCGCGTTCGATTCACGTATACCTCTGCGCATCACTTTTGTTTTCTCGGCTGCTTTGTTTGCACCCTTGCTCGTATCTCTGAGAAAATCGTCTTAATTTAATTTGTAATTTTTTTGACCCTGATTATTTTAATTGCTTTGTTCTCGGGAATAAAAGCGATGTTTTGATACAACTAATTGACCGTTGGGAAAAATCGGGCGCAGGGCTATATACGGTGAGTATACCTTGCAGTCAAACGTACAATAGCCAGGGTTGTTCAATCGAAATACTTACCTGCTATCGCAAGCACTGCACGTAAGGAAATAACAAAAAAAAAAAAAATGAGCGTACAACTTTTATAATAACCTCGGACATGTACGTGCAACGCGGTTTCACGGGTTTCCCATATTTTTTTTGCAACACCGCCGGTTTATCGAAGGACGCCCTCGCAAGACCCGAGGAAAGTTCATCAGTTCCGATAGCCGGAAAAATCGGCCTACAGTTATGCTCCTTCGCCCCGAATCCCACGATTACGCACTCGACACCTCTCGCAACCCCATACGGTTTTTCCGACGTCATACCAGCGTGATGTTCCTCAACAAAGTACAAAGATACACACGTACTATATTCACACCTACATACGCGGGGGGTGACGAAACGCGAACGAAATGGGATGTTATCCGGCGCCTCTTGGCGAGCAGTCCGAGGCCGGTGTTGGGTGTTTCGCCACCAACGCTGAACAAATCAATGACAAGCCTCCTTCGTATGCGTACGAGCGTTTGAAAACACACGAGGATCCCAGACAAAGATAGTCCATCCACTTGACGGTGCATTGGATGAGGAGCCGGCGCCGAAAACTTTGTGGAAAAAAGAGCAAGCGCCGCGGAGGGTAACACCAGCCTGAGAACCGACCTGTTGGTTTCTAGATGATCGAAGACAAGGTCAACGCCATTGTCGGCGAGATCATCAAGATCTTCGGGCCCGTGGTGTTCCAGAGCATCCTCGGGGGCAACAAGAACGCGGGCGGCGGTGGTGGTGGCGAGGGCGCCTCCAAGTCGTCCGGCTCGACCGTGGAGGCGAAAAACCCCTTCGACGACGACGACGCGAGCTTTACGGACGACGACGACTTCTTCAACGCTCCGGCTCAGTCCGGCGGTGGGTCCATGGTGTCGGTGGGTTTGCCTACGGGTAAGGGCGTCGAGTCGACCAGTGCCAAGGTGGAGGAGACATCTAGCTCCGCGGGACCGGAGCCCGAGGGGAGTGGGGTCGTTACCACGGCGAGCTCGAGAGATCAGGAGCTGACCACGGTGCGGCTCGACGACAGTGCCACCAACTCGGTGCAATGATCGCGAGGGGTTGTACAGAGTGTGGTCGGAAAGAGATTGTAGACGAAAAAGTATATATTTTTCGACCCCCTCCCGTCGTTTGCTGGGCAGTATAGGTGTTGGTTGGTTGGATGAAGCGAACGAGCTGTACTTTATGCGAGATTTTGAAAATTTCGTTGGGCAGTACTTTTGGCGTGGCTCATACCTATTTCCTATACTTTCGTTGAAAATAGATTAAGATTATTCGATACTAGATGTTTCGTTATGTACGCATATATTATATGTATACTTACTTTTCTCCCTTTTGACTATATCATACGGGATGATTTTCACAGTTTTTCTTTCTACCTTGTAGTATCTATACGTTTTTTGTCTCATCCTTTCTACGAGATATTTTTATTCCATCATAATTAGTCCCATTGTTTTACTTTGTACATCTATTCACAACTTTTCAAATGGTCACTGTCTGTGAGACAACACCATATGTATCATTCATGTTGCAGCTATTTCCCTCCCCCCTTTTTTTAACTTAGTTGTTTCCACAACAAAATTTTATACTTGCAAATGATGATATTTAAAACTTTTCGTCATCCAATTCGTTACCATAACAACTCCGTTTCACCGCATCTTCTCACATCTCTTATTACTTTCAACTGTTGCACTTGTATTATTTTATTTTATTTGTTTACAATTTCCATATAATCCTAAAACTAAATGAACCAAAGTACACGAGTTAAACTCTATTTAAATTGTGTTACTAACAAAATAGAGTACAACTTAGCGATTAAATACTATTAATCAAACTAGACAATCAAAAGTTCTCTAGACCCATCATATAATATACATATTATTAACTTTCCCTAACAAGTACTAAGAACTTTTCTACTTTTCGAATCAATTAAAAAATAATTAATGTACATTTGTCGGATCGAAAGATCCACGCAAAAACAAAAAATGGTTGACAATAAAAAAAATGTTTTGTATTTTAACAGAAGTTGTTTTTAATGCACTTTCCACGATTAACGGCATACACGCGCGCTCTGGTGAAGTTTTCGTTTTTTTTTTTTTTTTTAACGACCCATTGGTACATCCAGTGAATTTCACCAAAGTGTTTTTTTTTTAACAACAAATTAACGCAAGAAGAATAAAAAAAAATAGGGGGACCACAGGTGGCTTTGTCTCTCAAGAGGTGTCATAACAGATAATAGAGAAAAAGAGGAAAACTGTGTGGTGAATTGACAAAAAAAAAAAAAAAAAAAAAAAACGGGGTGCCTGCAGTCACTATCGAAACGGGGTACATCCACAAGGAGAACATTTGCGGTTTGCGGATGAGCGGACTAACACTTGTGTTGAGGCTCTGCACGCCGGAGACGACGCCGCGGAACCGTATGTGCATGGCGTTGTTAAGCATAAATGTAAAGATTACTATATATTATTGTACCCTCTAATCTTCATAAAAAGAAAAAAAAACCTTCTCTGTGTCTTATCTGTCTCTGCAATCTAACGATCGCTCATTCATACAGCGTCGCACCAACAATGCTGTACGTCAGTGTGCGACCATGTTATCTTACTCTCGACTCGCTGCTCTACATTGATGTTACCATAAATATACACGTGTAACTTTTGGTGTCTAATTTGCTATTTCATCTGTGGCGTTTGCCTTTGCTTTTTCTATACAATGCAATTCTGTAAAAGGTTTTTAGCCTAAGCTGGCAAAATAAAACAGCTGTGGCCCATAAATATGCGAACATCGTGGAAAAATATGTACAATACCTTACACACGGTGTATCCTTCCCGAAAAGCTGGAAGGACTGTACGTCTACTTGTGTACTGTATAGGAACGAAAAAACTGCAATACCATTACTGTGGTCATTCATACGAATGTGTACATCAAGTGCACATTAGATCGACGTTGCATCTACTGACAAACGTTTTTCTTTCTCCGTGCCATTATGTGTGTGATTAACGTTTTTTTTTTTTACAACGTTCCTCGCTCGCCAATCACGAGACACCTTGTGCGAGCCGTACGACTGATTTTTACTCAAAAAAACCATTTTATATCTGAGTGTTTGCGTGGTTACCTTTTTGTTGTTTTTTTTTTACTAACTAATATTTTTTCAGCTTGCACTTACTTTCCATAAAAAAATATTGTTCATACGTACTTCTTGCAATATTTTTCAATGTTACTCAATCAACGTTTACTCACACATGTGTAACACACTGTCACAATTTATATTTCGCTTCACTGATAAAAAAAAAAAAAAAAAAAAGAAGAGAAATTATTCTCTTTTTTTTTCGTACATTTCTTACACTTGGACCAAGTACTATGTATGTTTCACTTTCGCCATTTACAAAACACATTGAACCAAGCGAAAGGAAAGAGCAATTTGAAAAATGACCGATTTTTCAGGACGACGCGATCCCCGAGGCCAGCGAGAACAACCAAGTGGTGAGCGAAGCCGACGGCCAGGCAGAGTCGCAGAACAACGAGGTGCGCGTGCAATTTGCCGACGAGACGGCGAGCCAGACGAGCGACGCGAACGACGGCGAGCTCGCGCCCCTCGAGGACCCGGACGACGACGAGAACCGCAACAAGAGGTACCTGGGCTTTGGCGGCTCGGCTGATAACGGCAACGGCAACGGCGGCAGCGGGGGTGGCTCCGGCAACTTCCTCTTCGACATCATCAGGGTGAGTTTTTTTCAAACGACTTGTGAGCCATATAACTTTTAGTTTTTAACCGCATAAGAGTGCAAACAGCTTCAATACAGTTAGTTCCATGTTGGACTTGTACCGATATAAATCGTGCGTATTATGTGGCTTGCGAAAAAACTGGGCATTTGGCACCAGAGTTCGAGCAACTGGACTCATCGGTAAGCCGTGCCTTGGGCGCTGTACCAGACGCGTTAGCTAATCGCGCCACGTGTTGCAATCGAGTTCCAAGCTCGTCACTTGCGACAACGGCCATACATACTTTGTACAAGTATTTTGTTTCTAGCTTATTTGAAAAGAAGCTCGATTGGGCTGAGGAATAGTTTTTTTTGTCGATTTTTTTTTTTTTTTTTGATAACGCAACACTAGGTACTAGAACTGCCTTTCGTACTAGGGTAGTAAATTCTCCGTTAGGGCTTGCGTCAGTGACTCCCATCTTGGATGGTTAGGTGATTAATGAAATCTAAGATTTTTAAATAGGTATACAAATTTCAAAACGAGATAACTTTTCGTTGGTGTCCTCGAACGAACGAAAAAAATCCCACGTACTTTGAGTTTCTTCACACTCGAATAACTTTGACTTTCTCAGAAAAAAAAAGTCCACGAGCGATTACGTGGTAACAACACGTAGTAGTCAAGTCCACGGTTGTATTGAAACGCTTCTCATTTACTCCGGAACCTCGAAGAGGATGGAAATTTCAAAATTACCCTACAGCTGTTTTTCAAGTTATTGCATAAATCCGCGAAGGTGTACGGTGACACGTGCCGGCAAAACGAGTCAAGCGAGACTCATGGAAAGCAAAAGGAAAGATCGGCACCGCGAGCAGTTCCACGCAATCGTGCATCAAAATCGCGTGCCGTGCTGTATATAAATATGATCTCCGTTGCAAGGCTATCGTTGCGCACTGGCCGTTTCCGCGTGTATTTTATCGTATTATGTGTATATATGTATATATACACATGGAAGCAGACAACTACGCGGATGAATGACGATTGCAGGTACGAGATCGGTATATACTCGGCTGGATGGAGTGAAAGTTGTCTATGCGATGACTCTCAAGTTCGCAATATGGTTGTTTTTTTTTTTCTTTATGGAAAGCTTGAGTAGTCAACGCAACTTGTAAAATCGTCAAAAGAATGCATCTTCATCCATGAAAATAAGTATCTATTTCGATTACTATCTTTTCAATCTTACATACCATATGGAACAATTTGATGGTCCATATGGATATTTTAATTCAATCCAAATTAAAGTGTAACTAAATATTTGTGTAACAACAACCTTTACATGCATTATACATTTTCTTCGCTCCACCCATCGAAAGTTAGCCAATAGTAAATTATTGACAAGGCCACCAAGTCAACCAATAGCACCGCCATTATTTCTGGGGGAGCTAACGAAGTTTAGATCTTTTTTATTTTGATTTTATTAGGAGGAAAAATAGTTATGTAGAAACATGCGCAGTCAAGCGCAATCGGCAGTTAACATCTTCAAATTGTACACCCTCGAAATATGAAATGATCGGTATGTATAGGCCTCATCAGCTAACAAATAAAAAAAAAACCCATTACGTGACTCGCCGATCTTTTGAGAAAGAAATTACACTTTGACGCACCTTTAAGGACTCGACCTCGTTAATTGTTTCAGCTTTTTCTTGAGCGGAAACGTTTGTGAGCCCAAAATAAGGTCATTACTTGAGAGATCCATGCCACGAGGGGCACGCGAATCCTCGCTCGGATTTTGATTCAAGTTTGTCACGATTTTCGTGATCAAGAGATCCCAGATTTTCTACTGGTTATACACCACAACTTTCAGAAAAAATTAGTAATTCTTCCTCGTTATTTCGTCGATTTCCGTAGTTTTTGCACTTTTTACCGCACTACCGATAGTTTCTCATTGTACAGCTGTAAAGCTTGCATTTTTCAAACAAAAATTAATCATTTGTGCAACAAGAAAAGAACAATATCAGCAGTTATCTAATTACACTATTTGTAATAATTGTTACGTTAAATTACAATGTAACAGTTTTATACGGATACAGTAAAAAGTGAAAAAGCATTAAAAACTCGATCGATCACTATTCTCGTAACAGTGAGATAAAAAGGCGATTTAATTAGCACATACGGTAGTGCGTGCGTGTAACTTTACAGTCAACAAAACACCGAACGTAACGTGAAATTTTTCCTCTGCTGTAATGGTAGGACTAAGTATTGACTAGGCGATTTTTAGTCTTTTTTTTTTTCTTATTTCCTCCGTTCTCCACTTCTCGAGCTGACATTATCAGGTGCAACGAACCCGCGATACCAGACTCGACCCAATACATACCAGTCATGATTCGTGTAATTTTTTTCGCACATGTAACCCACACGTAACGCGCTCCGAAAAATTACGTAGGAATTCATAAAGTAAAAGTGTTACTTTCGTACCAAAGTTTTAGCGTAGAACAAACGGGTAATACCTACAATTTCTTATTTAATATATTTGGATAGTGATGCCGTTTTCTCATGTGTTACACCCGATTCTTAGGTATTTGGTATTCATACATAGTCGATCGTTATCTACACGTAAATTAGAGTATAAGGAACGCAAGCGTCAGTTTTTCCAGACAGTGCAGTTTGCTAATTGAATAATATTATTTTTCCAGCCACAGCCAAAAGTAAAAAACTACGTCGTACATTTTTTTCCATTCATGTATAGAGGGGTGCATGAAAAAAGAAAGAAACTATACAATTGTAAAGCAAAGGCGATTTAAAACCGATTTCGCCTTTGCTATTTCAAAGAGTGAAGCCAGTCCCTGGAAAAAAAAAAAAAAAAAAGCGTGTATCGATGATAAATGTAAAAATGTCGTGACGTTTGGAGCGAAAAAAATGGGAAAAATCGGTACTTGCATGGTTGGCGTAAAAAAAAATCCAACAATCACTGTGTGATCCCCGTAGCAAGCAGCCGACAGCGCGGCAAGGGCAGCCGGCACAGTGTACCGGGTGGTGGCCGGCACCCAGAGCCTGGGGCTGGGCCTGAGCGCGTCGCGCGACATCGGCCCGGCCCCGCTGATAGCCGACGGCTCGATGCCGCTCGCCGTGATGCCCGGCCAGTCCCAAGCGCCGAGCCAGCAGACGACGATGCCGGCGGGAGCACCGGCCGGGGCCAACGGAACGGCCGTGAACCCATCGGTACGAGAGATGTGGAAGACCACCATCACCCTGTGTGACCTAAATTGTCGTTTCTATCTCTTGTC